ATATATATACAGAGAGAGAGAGAGAAAAATATGTGAGGTAATAGTTGTGTTAATTAACTAGGTGGGAGGAATTCTTTCACAAAGTATAGCATCAAATTTACACTTAAAATATCTTACAACTTTGTCAGTTATACCTCAGAAAGCTAAAAAACAAATCAAAACAGTTTTTCCCAAACTTAAAAAAACCTCATAAATATGTAAATAAATAATCAAAATACAGCACAATTAAGCCACTTGTCTGTTTTTGAATCGCCACAGAAATATTATGAAAAGCAAACACATAGAAATTATAATTTTATTATAGAACTAGAGGCCTGGTGCACAAAATTTGTGCACACGGGAGGGGTTCCCTCAACCTGGCCTGCACTCTTCTCGCAGTCTGGGAGCCCTTGGGGGATGTCCGACTGATGGGCCTCCATCAGGGAGCGGGCCTAAGCCTGCAGTCAGACATCCTTAGCACTGCCACGGAGGCAGGAGAGGCTCCTGCCACTGCCGCTGTGATTGCCATCCTTGAGCCCAGCTTCTGGTGCACTGACCACCAGCGGGCAGCTCCTGCATTGAGTGTCTGCCCCCTGGTGGTCAGTGCACATCATAGCGACCAATCATTCCGACGTTCGGTCAATGCATATTAGCCTTTTATTATATAGGACTAGCGGCTTATTGCATGAAAAGATTCATGCAATAGGCCTTCCCTTCTCTGGCTGCCAGCACCGGTTTTCCTCTGGCACCGGGGACCCAGGCCTTCGCTCAGGCCGGAGCCGCCTTCAAGCCTTTGCTGCCCTGCCCAGCCGCCCCGGGTCAGGTTGCACACGGAACGCCTGCTGCCCCAGGTCACAGATAGCAGGCTCAGATGGCGGCAGGGCAGGTGGGATGGTGCTGTCCCATCCTGCCTGCAGTATGCAAATTAGCCGCCATCTTTGTTGGGGGTTAGTTTGCATATCATGTTGATTAGCCAATGGGAGGCGTAGCGAAGGTATGGTCAATTATCATGTTTGTCTATTATTAGATAGGATTATATAAGTGTTAAGTTTAATTTTAGAAAGTATAACAATGTACATCTAGAAAGCTTATTAAAAGTGTAGATTCCTAGCCCCATCTACAGACTCATTAATTTGAGTATAGGGATAAATTTGTGCTTTTAACAAGCACCTCAGGTGATGTTCATGTAGGTGGTTTGCAGAATACACATTGAGAAAACAGGTGTGAGAATTTTTCAGAAATAGAGAAGATGACAAAAAACAGATCCCAATTACTACCAGGAGACAGACTGAAGGACTCTATTTTTATCCCTCTACTTCTACCTCCAAGTGTTTCATATAATAAGTATTCCTGAAAATGAAGAATATAAACTTTTCTAAAATTAAAAAATCAGTGGCTCCTAGATCATGACCCAAAGAGAGCAGACTTTTACTCTGTTTCACATACTTCAAATTGTTTCATGAAACATTTATTAAGAATGACATTTGGCTAGGAACTATACTGGAAGCGTTCACTTATATAATCTTAATATTCCCAGGATTCCTGTGACATTCCCATTGTAGTAATTAGGAAAGAATACTTTTGACTTCAATAACAGAAGTCAAGTTTACAGTGGTTTAAACCAAAGGAAAAGAGACAGAACAAGAGCAGAAATCCAAAGGTGTAGGATTGACTTCAAGGTTAGTTGAGCCAGTCACTGAAGAATGTCGTTCAGGACTTAAGTTTTTGTCCATCTCTGCTTTGCCATCTAAAGTGCCAACTTCACCCTAAAGCTGGTTCTCCTCTTGGTCATGGGCTAGCTCCTGATTACAGAGATGTTATCCTCTTATTCACATCCAGGAGGGCTTGCTGGCTTTTCATAATTCTTCCCAAATACTAAGGGCCTCACATTAAATTAAATTAAGCCCAAATTAAATTAATGTGACTTAGACTAGTATTTTTCAATGTGTGTTTATTATTCACTCAAGGAGTCTTTTTAGACATTTTATTCCTAAACACCCCTTCCCCATGAAATTTTAAGAACATAGATATTATTATATGTCTCCTTTATACATAAAAGAGTAATTTGATCATCCCAACCTCAAAATGCATGGTCTAGACTAATTCAGGACACCCCTGGAACTGTGGATGGGATCAGCCTTCCTTGGAGCACATGTCCATGTGTGGGAGGTATGGATACAGAGCAAAAATGTGAGTTCTGTTAGGATGAAGAAAGTAGTAAGGAATGGATTCTGGATAGGCAAACAACAGTGGCCACCATTCAAGCTGAGAGACAGAACAGATAATTTGTATTGGTAAGTGGTAAAATCAATTCAGACCAGGATTTCTAACTTCAACTGCAGTGCTGTAGCCACTAAAACTTAGTTATCCATTTTTAGTTTGTCTTGGAGGTAACATCAACAATGAAGAGAATCTTGAGAGAGGCAGTTATAGATTCAAATAGCGATTCTGTACTTACTAGTACTGGTTGTGTGGAAAAATCCCTGGAGGAGCTCTGTGAATTTATATTCTTCATCTTTAAAAGAGAGATTATAATTTCTTGAATACCAGACTGTTAGAAGGATTAAATAAGCTAAACATGTAAAACAACAAGAAAAATGCTTTTGTAAATGTTAGTTCCTTTCCATTATCATTTTTTTCTAAATATATTTTTATTGATTTTAGAGAGGAAGGAAGAGGGAGAGATAAAAAACATCCATGATGAGAGAGAATCATGGATCGGCTGCCTCCTGCAAGTCCCGCACTGGGGATTGAGCCCACAACCTGGGCATGTGCCCTTGACTGGAATCGAATCTGGGACCCTTCAGTTCACAGGCCGACGCTTTATCCTCTGAGCCAAACTGGCGCAGTGGTCGGCAAACTCATTAGTCAACAGAGCCAAATCTCAACAGTACAATGATTGAAATTTCTTTTGAGAGCCAAATTTGTTAAACTTAAACTATATAGGTAGGTACATTGTTATTAACTTAATTAGGGTACTCCTAAGGCTTAGGAAGAGCCACACTCAAGGGGCCAAAGAGCTGCATGTGGCTCGTGAGCCGCAGTTTGCCGACCATGGGCTAGGGCATCATTTTTCTTTTTGAAAAAATTAAGTAAGGCTTAGGAATTCATGGTCTAAAAATACATATTATTACTAGAACTTGCAAAACTATTTATTTGAAATTCATCTCCTACTCCCTTTCAAAAGTTGTTTATTTTTTACAGAATGAATACTGTAGTTAGCATACTTTAGTAATTGTCACATCCACAACTTCAGGAAGATGACAGCTCTCTACACTGTAAGCTCGGTAAAGATGGGAGGAAAAGTGTATTTTTAATGATTTGTGATGTGTGCCAGTTGCAGAGAAGCTGAATGTTGAGTGTAAAGAAAGTTTATAAATTGCTTTTAGTTTTGTGGTTATGACCTTCTGGTCTGATATGAATTTTCATCTATTCTTTATTTTCTAGGACAAATCTATTAGCACTAGCTTACCTGTCCTAGATTTAATAGATGCTATTGCACCAAATGCAGTTCGTCAAGAAATGGTAAAGAGAGAAGACTTTTCTGATGAAGACAAGCTGAACAATGCTAAGTAAGCTTTTATTATTTGTTTTAGAATATAGTGGCTCTTTAAATTCTTAAATCCATACAGGTGAGGTTAATATGTCCTTAAAATTCACATTTTTAAATACAACTTGTAAAGGAAATATGATTTAACTACTCATAACCTTAACTTTTTTGTAAAGTTAAATCTTATAAAAAATATTTCATTATTTTATTAATGTATATTAAGTGAAAACACAGTAGATAACAAATAAGATATTTTTCTTGTTTTTTAAAGATACGCCATTTCAGTTGCTCGAAAGATTGGTGCCAGGATATATGCCTTACCTGACGACCTCGTAGAAGTGAAACCAAAGATGGTCATGACGGTGTTTGCATGCTTAATGGGAAAAGGACTGAACAGAATAAAATAAACATTTAATATGATTTTCTGCCACATTAACACATTGAATGCCTCACAGTTTACAGAATTCTGAAATGTAGTAGGTATAAAAGCAAAGATTACTTGTATGCTCAAAACAATTGTAAAATTCATTAATGAATTCAATATCCTATTCATGCTAGTTAGAGTTTGTCGACCTTTTTGGATAACACAATTAATTTACTAGTATTTACTGATAATAGAATATGTTCATCATCAAGCCGATATTTTGCGATTAAATTATTTTCATTTCCAGAAAGTCTCATTAAAACAAGACTAATTTATTCTTTTTCATGGTTCAGAAAGATCAATACAAAATTTTTTTGCAAGTCCTGTGAAATGTATTTTGATTTGTGTTAATTTTGATCATAAATACATTAAAAGTCATAATTCTGTTTCATCACTTTGTTTTTTCCCTCTATGTGCAGTGGTCTAAGCTTTAACTTTTCTGTAAATTTCTATATTGTCTAAAACTTTTAAGTGATCCCATTGCTGCCACAAAAAAACAAACAAAAAACTTTTAAGTGACAAGTATTGTTCTAGCAACATTAAATTTTTTTACATATGAGAACTAACTCCTGAAGAAATCCCAAAGTTTATTCTCTTAGGTAAGAAGCCAGAGCTTTTTACTTAAAACTTAATTTCAACTCCATTCATACTTTATATATGCTAGTTTGGTAATGACAGGCAGCATACATATGTTGGCAGGATGTTATTAGGGAAATATGTGTGTGTATGTATATATTTTGCACCGAATTACCTGAGTTTTCTTAAAGGGTATGTACAATTGGTAAGTCAGCCAATCAATAAGTATTTATTGTGCCCTCACTGTGTGTACTTTTCAGTTTGTAGCTATTTGGTACATGAAAATTTCTTTTAGAATTATTCATTTTTGATGTGCATATGGTAATTTGTGACTGACTTCTTCCAGATATTTAGAGCCAAACATTGGCTAGAGGATTTCAAGATATGTTGATGCTATAATGTTAGCTTCATGTTACAGTTGCTAATT